GAGGCAGAGAGAGATAGAAAGTGGCGGGAGAAAATGAAGAGGAAGAAGATATGGTATATTAGATCAGACTTATTTGCGACGACATTGTCGTCGCAAATAAGTTCAAAAATGTCGTCACAAATAATCATTAATTCCCGTGCTTGGTTTTGGTAAAATCTTGAAAAGATTATTTGCGACGACAAAGAGACAATGTCGTTGCAAATAATATGAAATTATTTGCGACGACAAAATCATCGCAAATAAATGGAAAATGTCGTCGCAAATAATCATTTTTCCCGCGTTTAGTTTTTTGGTGAAATCTTGAAAAGATTATTTGCGATGACAAAGAGAAAATATCGTCACAAATAATATGAAATTATTTGCGACGAATTTGTCGTCGCAAATAAAGGGAAAATATCGTCGCAAAAAATGGATTACCTTGGCGGCAAAATTCCGCGCCATTAAAATTTGCGCCCAAAATTATTTGCGACGACATTTAAGTTATTAGCGACGACATTTAACTTATTAGCAACGACATGGTTATTTTTTCAAACGGGGAGTAATTGCGACGACATGTCGTCGTAAATATTTTATTATTGGCGACGACAAATGTCGTCGCAAAAAATGTCATCGCAATTGGCCTTTTTTGTTGTAGTGTATGAAGACGATACTCACTCACCCTATACTATCAAAACTTGACACCATTCACTTACGGGCGAGCACAAATCAAAAACATTTCATCCGTTTCTTTATTATATGTACCTTGCATTCAAAAAATTCAATACTACAATTAATATATGCCCCCTCTCAATTATATAAAATTACAATAATGTCACCAATCATGTTCTTGCATCAAATACAATCCACCACTTATTAGAACGATCAAATTCTTATGGTATAATAGCTTTTATTATTTAAAGTACGAAATTAATATACAGAGCCAAAAAGGGTAAAAGGGGAGATTGAAGAACTTAACAAAAATAGAAGAAATTAAATTAAGTTTATTTTATTTAATAGCTACGTCCACAGTGTACTTTCTTCTATTGTAACAAATATAATTCTTCTCAACACTGCATGGAAAATGTGCAAGTTGAATATCAAGAAATCATGTACTGGTGAGTGTGTTTGAGCCCCATGTTAAAAATATGTGTTAAGGGCGGCCGTGGTTAGATTTAGATGCATCATTGTTGATATTCTAAAGGCCCATTTAATTCGCTGATTCGAGTTTTAATTTGAGTTGAGATGTGACTTTATGTGAGAGCTTTTTATTATAGTAAAAAGTTAGATGTGACTATTTCAGATAGCTTTTTACTGTAATAAAGCTAGAATTTTAAACTTAAATCGGTGAAATGAATGAGACTTAAAATATTTTTGTGATGCCTAGATTTCTCACATACTAATTGGCCAATATATTGTATGATTTTACATTTATATGCATATGAGTTATATGTTTGATGTGTCATCAAGGTGCATGAATAGGTAAATAATGTGCATTAAGTATTAAGTTGTGTATGTTGTATTCATTATTGACGGATTTTCTCGACGATCGATCCAGTAAGTGGGAAGGTTTAGTATATGTTTTATCGGATAAATATACGCAAATATGACAAGAGACCCTTTATAATGAGTATATAAGTGGATGAGATTGATTAGATTACGAGGAGTTGACGTGAGTTTCACATGAATCATAGAGTTAGAATGCTCTATAAACCCTATTTTAGCATGAAATTCGGTGTGAGCTCATACGCCTAATTTGGTAAGCAAATTAATAGGTTACAACCTAGCTTACATTTGAAACTTGGTGTAAGTTTTTAACACCTTATAAAGCATGTTTATACTAAAAATTAAGTCACTTGGCCTGATTTGGTGGAAGTACTTCACAGTGAAGTACTTTAGGTGCTAGCTTCGTTGTTTAATAACTTATTAAGCAACCAGGTCAAGTTATCAACCCCAAATTTGCTAGTACAAGTCTCCTTAACAGTTAAGCACCATTTTCCCCAGCAGTTAAGCACCATTTTCAGCTAGAGAACTCAGAATTCAATAAAATTTCTAGGTGGTTTAACCATTTTTAGGTACCAATTAGCAAGGAAACTTAAATTGGGCTAAGGTAAGCCACTGTTTAGGTATTCAATATTGTTTAGTTCTGTTCAGGCGGTTTTCCTTTGAATTTGACTATGATATTTGAACCACATGGTCTCTTATATGTCAGGAGGATCTCCTTAAATGGGCATAAGCAAATTTAAAGGAAAAAGAGTGGTTTTGGGTTCGTTTGTAGAAGCTATCCAGAAACAAGTTTATTTCTAAACAATTTCAGGTTTGTACTTGGTTACCTAGGTTAGGAAGCTTCTTTTGATATGATTTTTTTAAGGGTAGGCTCATTTATATGTTAACCAAATGGCACTAAAACAGTTTTGGTAAATTCAATTTGGTTTGGGAGTTATAAGTTAGACACTGAGTCTGGTTCAGTTTGTGGTATTGGACGAATTTGTGGTTTCAAGATGTTTTGTGAATTTTGGTGAATTTAAATTTGTTTAAGTTTCAAAACATGTGTTTTATGCTTTAGGGAGTGTTAAAATGACGGGAAAACTCTGCCAAATTTTTTTTAAAAAAATTGACTTAATTTGGATAAAAAAATAAGGGAGTTAGGCCATGTTTTGGTGTTGCCCGTGCACCAAGCCACACCAGGCACACGCCTAGTCCCAGTGGGTGCGCACTACAGGCCATATGGGCACGCCCGTGCACGCACAGGCAGGCCAGGGGCGGCCAACCAGGCACGCCCTTGGGGCTACTTGGCTAGGCCATGGCCTGACTAGGTCAACTGGCTTAATAAAGGGTTTTTAGGGCCCCAGAGTAGTCTATAAACCCCTATTTTTTATGATTATCACTTAAAATAATTATTTAAAATATTATTTTATTTATTTAAATATTAAAAAAAGGTAGTAAAAAATTAGGAAAATGAGCTCCCTAATACATAATTGTTAGTCATTGTTGGTCGAGTGATAATGTTAGTTAAAATACTTAATGTTTCAGATGAGTGGAACACCAGCTTTCCTGAGAGGATATCAGAGAGCCTCAATATCAGTTCTAAGGCTCGAGGTAAGTAGAATATCACCTGTGTCACCATAAAAGTCATGCATATGCTATGTGATTCAAAGTTGTGATATGTGAGTATATGAGACATGTGTTATTGATGTTAGCATAACCATGCATGCATGACATAATGTAAAGATATGTACTATTGAACATAAAATGAAAAGAATGAATATTAAAGAGAAGAGAGGGTTAAATGATGGTTTTGTTGTTTTTGATGGGTTTTGTGTCTCCAAGGAGACTGCCGGACCTCTTGCGGTGTGGGAAGCTTCTTGATGATCAGGGAGAAGGATTTGTGTTTATTATGATTAACCCCACATGACGGCATTTTATAATATAATTTGTGACCACTAGGTCAAAGGACCTTTGTCTCAATAGAGACTTTCGGTGTGGGAAGCTTCCTTAATGATCACGAGGAAGAATTGGTTTTAAATGTGAAAAATGTATTTTACCCCACACGACGGCATTCGATGTTATGTATGTTGTGGCTACAAGGTCCGATGAGGTATCTGGGATACCGTCCTGTCTAAGTAATTGCGCGCATAAGATAAAAAGAATGAATGAAAAGTTAAAATGTATGATGTTAACAAGTCATGAGCTCATGCATATTCTCATTGTTGCTATATCATGTATTATTCTACTTACTGGGCTTTAGCTCACTTATTTTTATAGTGATGCAGATGAAGGTATATCCTAGCATTAGTTATGGACTAGATGGTAGGCTGGCGCAATCCTGAGGGCCGAGCCTATTTTTGATAGATGGACTAACAGACCTGTATTTTGGAGGCTCTCGTTGTACTTAGGGATTGTGTGAGCCCGTGAGGGTATACATAGTATAAGGCTGAGCCTATTTTTGATAGATGTATTATATTGTATATGTTTAGCTAGCCTATTGGAGTATATTACATATATTTTGATTATCTTTGCTTGTCAGGAAGTTTTAAAAGTTCAAATTTGCCCGTATTTTTATAACATGTTAGGTTAAGTTTGAGGGAATATTAAGAAATAACACTACTTAATATGACTAATTGGATAATTTAAAGCCATATTAGGGGGTGTTACAATTTTATTCCAAGTAGGAAGAAGCTGACGATAATTAAACTTTGTCCCTTCGACGATAGCAGATAAAAATAGATGATTTTTTTATTCACGATAAGTTCCTTTAAAACACATGCCTATATTTGTGACAAATCTAACGCTTGTGAATTAAATTAATATTCTCCATCCTTTTCAACCCAACCCACCAAAATCCTTCTATGGTGCTTTCACCACACTGTATTAATCCACAAATCTATCATAACTTTAATGTTCAAAATTTATAAGTTCCAATATAAAATAACAAGTTATCTCATTCTTTTAAAATTCACAAATTTATTATAACTTAACTCTAATATTTAAAACTTAGGAGTCGAAAATTTCAACAGAAATTTTATAAATTACTATATTCCTAACGCGGTGCTGAAATTTTTCTTTTTTCCTGACACCATAAAAGTTTTCCTACCCACCATATTATCATCCATCAGCTCGTTTGTAAAGATAATATATTTTATCGATCTCACTCTTTTATTTTTATATTTTTTAGTACTTCAAGACAAAAAAAAAATCAATTAAATGAGGAGAATAACGTGTCAATGGTGACGATCTATCCACCCCTTCCCTCCTATATAAGTAGTGCCCAGCCTTTTAGAAAACTTGCAAGAGCAAAATCCAACACTAGAAAGAGAGCTGAGAAAGAAAGAAAGAATGGCCTCAAAAATGTTGATGATTCCACAAGTTCGACAAACAAGTACTCAAACCTTCATACCCGACAAGTCATTACAGAAGCCATTCGTCAATGGCAGTGAGAGTAGCGCAATTAGGCCTTCAGTCAATTTAAGACGTCCCTCACTCCTCCATACTAAGCAAAACACAAGTGTTAGGGTTAGTTCCTCTCCTAATAACAACACCAAAGCTCTTTTAAGCGACATTATTAAAAGTATTACCGCCAATGTTAAGGGCATTGTGACCGTCAAATCATCCATCGGAGACCTTCTCAACGTTGGGATAGACGAAGGACTTGATGATGCCACGGATTTGCTCGGGAGATCAATTCTCCTTGAGCTTGTTAGCGCTGAGCTTGATACTAGTAAGTTTTTTTGATTATAATTAAGCTCGGTTAATTCACAATTAAGGCTAGATATGCAGAAAAATAGATACAAAGAGGACGGTTTCAAGTACACAAATTTAATCTAATGGCTAAAAGCTTTGTTATACAACGCCTCTAGTTTGTTCTTATTTTTTAATCTTGCGTTAAGTGTCACACTTATGTATGAGGTAGTACTATAACCAAACCAAAGCCCATATATTCGTTTCTGCCTGAAGACATATACATATACATGCAGAGAAAAGTGCACATTTTTTGGTCGTTTTGATAAATTTATTATTATTTATGTCATTTAAATAATTAAATGCCATCGTGAATTCTTATTTTTATTTTTTATTTATTAAATGACGATTATTTATTTTTAAGTGAAGTGATATAAATAATATCTTTTATTTTCAATTGTTTTCCGTACATGTGTATGTATACACACACACGAATGTATTTATGTATGTACATACGTGTGTGTATAGCTGTGTATGTGTAATATAATACGTAAAGCGTGTAATATTAATAGTCTACCTCGTGTTACTTTTATGTTATGTTTTCTTGTTGATATTTCACTATATTGATTGTTCCGCTAATATAATAGAGTATTGTATATGTCCACATGACCCATGCTGTTGTCATTTCAGTTGACTTTTTATTTTTCAAAAAATTATTATTATTGCTAATCAGTTGAGTTTCAGAAGGTATCCATCGATACCAAGAACACGAAAATATGTATAATACATATTTTCTGGCCTTCTGGGAATGTGTAAAATATTTTTGGATTATATATAATAGAAATTGTTTTTTTGAGTTATATCTCTTGTAACATTTTACTCTCAATCTTTAAACGTAACATTCATTCTCTCTTAAACAATAAAATATTAAAAAAACCTCTTCATTAATAGAAAGAATGTATGTTACATTTTAAAGATCGAGAACAAAGTGTTATAAAAGTATAATTTAAGAAAAAATTTTGTAATTAATCACATATTTTTAGGATACCATTGTGCGTCTCTGTTTTAATGGTATTCATACGTCAATAGCACTACATATATATAGAGTAATAACTCATGTCATTATTTTCAATTTTAGTGTTAAAAAATGATCTCTATACACGTCGCATCATTCAAAAAAATTTTAAATACTTTTTAATTGATTTTCACGTTTGAGACCATTTAAAAATATACCACATGATTAGTTAGACATTATTTAAAAATAGAAAAATCAACTAATAAATTGAATCATAACGCGCACAATATAATAAATATTCAATGCGCGAACTCCTTCGATTTAATGGGCTAACAATATTATATATGATTTATATGGATGCTCATGTCATTATTTTTTTTTCCTCGCATAAAAACAAAAATTATATCCTTAAAAAGGCTCTCTATGTACAAGTTGAGGCGTATGTATATTATGTATAATATAAAAAATAGTTATTGAAAATAACTAGAACCTACTTCCTTTTTTTTTTTTTGCTGGTTGAATTTGGATTAATATTAAAAGTTCTATCTTCCACACCTAAAAAAAAAAAAAAGAATTCATGCATCAAAGAAAAAAAGTTCACATTAACTAACTTAATCACATACTTACCATATGCTCTTTTTTTTTTTTTTTTTTTTTTTTTTTTGGCGATGAAGATGGAAAGGAAAGAAGTACAATCAAAGCGTACGCACACAAATCGAGCCTGTTGGATTTGGGAGATGTGAAATACGAAGTAGATTTTGAAGTTCCAAAAGATTTTGGACAGCCTGGTGCAATTCTTGTCCAGAATCAGCATCACAATGAGATGTTCTTCAAGGACATTGTCCTCCATGGCTTGCCCAATGGCACCCTTACCTTTAGCTGCAACTCTTGGGTTTGTTCCAAGTATGACAATCCTCAGAAGAGGGTCTTCTTCGCCAATAAGGTTACTCCATAATTCCATATACATACATACATACATATATATATATATATATATATATATATATATTAACTGCTCACTACTTCACGATCACTTTTTATATATATCACTCTTCACTATATTAATTATGCTTATATATATATATATATGGGGGACGTACTGCTTGTTGTCATGTAGTCATATTTGCCATCCGCGACACCAAGTGGGTTGAGAAGGCTGAGAGAAGAAGACAAGATTAGGTTGAGAGGGAATGGCCAAGGAGAACGAAAGAGATATGATAGGATCTACGATTATGATGTGTACAACGATCTTGGGAATCCTGATCTCATCCCCGACCACAAAAGACCTGTTCTTGGCGGCGAAGAACACCCCTATCCCCGACGTTGTCGTACTGGCCGTCCACCTAGTTTGACAGGTAAATATTATGAAGTGATTAGACTTCTCATATCATTTTTTATGTTCCTCTAGTAGTATCATGTCGTATCATTTTATTTAAAATACAATGTCTATTTAAATATTTTTATTGACGTGAAATGACATTATTAGAGCATATAAGAGACGACAGCACAAACTCAAAATCTTTTTGTTGCCAATTAAAATGTTACGTGTGTGATACAGATCCACAGTCAGAGTCAAGGTATGCACTTCTTTTCTATGTCCCTCGTGACGAGAACTTCTCGGCGGTAAAGACAGTAAATTTCGGAGCGAAGACGCTGTCTCTCTAATAATATCATGTCGTATTAATTTATATAAAATACAATGTCCATTTAAATATTTTTATTGACGTGAAATGACATTATCAGAGGATATAAAAGACCACACTAAAACTCAAAATCTTTTTTATTGCCAATTAAAATGTTACGTGTGTGATACAGATTCACAATCAGAGTCAAGGTATGCACTTCTTTTCTATGTCCCTCGTGACGAGAACTTCTCGGCGGTAAAGACAGTAAATTTCGGAGCGAAGACGCTCTACTCCGCCTTGCACGCATTAGTACCGACGCTGGAGGGACTACTAATTGAAGAGGATTTCCCACATTTCACTGCCATAGACACCCTCTTCGATCAAGGGATTAAGATTCCTCCCAATAGTAACAACAAAGGACTTCTCAAAAGTGTCCTGCCTAGGCTAGTCAAGGCCGCTTCCGACGTTGACGACGTCTTGCAATATGAGCCCCCAGAAACAATGGACAGTAAGCAATATATTAAGCAACACAAACTAATTATATTAGTACTAATATGTTGCTTATATATGTTAATAGTATGGTACAATACTACTTTGTATGCGTGTAATGACACAATTAGTTTGCATGTTTTCTTAAGGGGACAAATTCTTTTGGCTGAGAGATCAGGAATTTGGTAGGCAGACTCTCGCAGGTCTCAATCCACAATGCATTCAGTTGGTTACGGTATGTATATGTTATTATTAGGCCACTGATTGTGACCGAAAGATTCGAATTAGACGGTCCATATAATATGAGACTAGATTTCGGATTCTCTTACTTATATTGTTACACCCACTATGTTAGGATTGTTTGATTTAAATCGTAAAATTAAGGTCAATTGTCAAATTATAATTTTCTATAATTTTTTAATGAAAAGTTGAAAAGATAATTAGAAGGGGTTGAATATTTACTAAATTAATAAGTCACATACCTACCATATATATACTTCTGCGGTTTAAATATTAGAATGGATTGTGCAGGAATGGCCCTTGAAGAGTAACCTCGATCCGAGTATCTACGGCCCGCCAGAGTCTGCAATCACTACAGAAATAATTGAGAAAGAAATAGGTGGTCTTATGTCTGTAGATGAGGTACCACAAAGGGCAATTAATATATATTTTAATAATATCTTTAACTTTCCTGTCATCCCAATTATCGTCATCATTATTATTTTACCATTTTATGTAATATCACAAACAATGAAATAAAATGTGCAGGCTATAAAACAAAAGAAGTTGTTCATATTGGATTACAATGACCTGCTATTACCATATGTGGAGAAAGTAAGACAACTTAGCGGCACAACACTGTACGGATCACGGGCACTGTTTTTCCTAACCCCACAAGGTACGCTGAGGCCTCTGGCCATTGAGCTGACTCGGCCGCCGATCGACGAAAAGCCGCAGTGGAAGCAAGTCTTTACACCTTGCTGGGATGCCACTGGTGTCTGGCTTTGGAGGATTGCCAAAGCTCATGTTCTTGCCCATGATTCTGGCATTCATCAGCTCGTTAGTCACTGGTATATTTTACATATTTGTTATTACCACTATCTGTATATAGTACTATAACAACAACGAGACTTAATCCCAACTTAATTCGTTTTCACTATCTGTATATAGTGCTAATTTCTGTAAATTCGTTTTAAGATTGGACCTGATGAATTCTTCTATTATAATTTCCAGGCTAAGGACACATTGTTGCACGGAACCTTATATAATAGCAACAAACAGGCAGCTGAGTTCAATGCACCCAATAGCTAGATTGTTGAACCCACACTTTAGATACACAATGCAGATCAATGGTCTTGCACGCCAACTCCTAATCAACGCAGGTGGCATCATTGAAAGCACATTCTCTCCTGATAAATACTCCATTCAGCTCAGCTCCGATGCCTACGACAAGTTGTGGCGATTCGACAATGAGGGGTTGCCAGCTGACCTCATCAGCAGGTAACACCAAAAACAATAGAACATCCCAATTAGGTCGGCACCTTCTGATGAGCCACTCAATGCCCGTCCCAAGTTTTATTTAAGGGGAAAAAAAGAGAAGAGAAAAAACTCACTATAGGCGATTTCTCATTGAATTGGGATTACTACGAAACAAATTAATGATCTTAATTTTCTTTTTATTGTCATATTTTGTAGAGGACTGGCTGTTGAGGACCCAAGTGCACCGCATGGGCTAAAGCTAACAATTGAAGACTACCCTTTTGCCAACGATGGTCTCCTTATCTGGGACGCCACCAAACAATGGGTGACTAACTATGTCAACCACTATTACTCAAGCGCAAGCCAAGTGGAGTCCGACGAAGAGCTCCAAGCATGGTGGACAGAAATCCGAACCGTCGGTCACGCGGACAAAAAGGACGAGCCATGGTGGCCCGTTTTGAAGACACCTCAAGACCTGATAGAAATCGTCACAACAATGATTTGGGTAACATCAGGCCACCATGCAGCCGTCAACTTCGGACAGTATGACTACGCAGGGTACTTCCCCAACAGGGCCACTATTGCGCGAACCAACGTCCCGACGGAAGACCCGAAACCGGAGGAGTGGAAGTACTTCTTGGAGAAGCCTGAAGGCACGCTTTTGCAGTGCCTGCCGACGAAAATTCAGGCAACGAAAGTGATGACCATTTTGGATGTGCTGTCTAGCCATTCACCGGATGAGGAGTACATCGGGGAGATGTCGGAGCCGTCGTGGAGCGAAGATCCGTATATAAAGGCGGCTTTCGAGCAGTTCAGCGGGAGGTTGAAGGAGATTGAAGGGATTATCGACGAGAGGAATGCTAATGCTGAATTGAAGAACAGAACTGGAGCTGGGGTTGCGCCATATGAGCTTTTGAAGCCGTTTTCGGGCTCCGGTGTCACCGGCAAGGGTGTTCCGAACAGCATCTCCATTTGAAACGAGTGATTAAAGTGGAGAACTAATAATGGAGCTGGAGAATAGTCGATGATCATGTTTTTGTGTTTCAAAGAACCAGAGATAAGTTTTTAACTAATTACAAAGTACTATCTCCTCACGTGGTCAATAATTTGCAACTTTTACATTAGAATAATGTAATATCATACATGCGGCAAGAAAGAATGCAAACTTTATTATGAATGACTGTATCCACAGATTGAGGTTTGGCTTATTTACTGTTTCTTTAAGTAGATCATCGATTCCATCGCATTTAATTTCCCTTTAATTATTTTTTTCCTCGTTTCTTGTATGGTTGTCATTTTTATCAGGGTTTTCATTATTTCCAATAATATTGTCGTATTATCAATTTACGCCCTTTCTTATTTATTTTTTCTTAATTTAGGGGTGGTTATCGTTGTGAAGGTCATCGATTTTGTGTTAGTTGTTTTTTCTGATGTCGTATTTCCAATTAATGTAGTTTTTCACTTTATTGTCGTTTATAACTATTTTTTTTTTTTTTTTGCTAGAAATTGTCGCTTAACTAGTTTATTGTTGTTATAAGATCGTTGTCATTTTGCTTCGGTTCTTTTTGTTTAGTAGTCGTCATTTTCGTGGTTTCTGTCGTTAATATGGTGTTGTCGTTTTTATTTCTGACATTTTTGTTCTCTTCATGCCGTTTGGTTAGTTCATTGTTGTTTTTATATCACTGTCGTTTATTCACTTGTTGTGATTTAAGTCTTCTCGTCTGGACCTTAATATTCTACTTCCAATTAGTAGTGTTTTGAAGTTCTTTGTCGTTTCTATATTGATTTTTTTTCCCCAAATCGTTATCGACTTGTCACGGTTGAGAATTGAGAAGTTATTGCTTCGACGTCGTTTTACTCATTAGGAGTCGCTTTTTGTTTTATTATTTTTATGTCCTTTCTTGAGGTTATTTTGTTTGTACTTTAGGTTATTGCCTATTTGTACTTGTGTCGTTTTTAAGTCATCGATCGTTTTCCTTTGACGTTGGCAGTTCTCTTGAGAACTCGTTTAACTTTATCGACAATTTCACCGTATATGATATCTCCATTAACTGGTCGCCAATATGTAATAAGTAATTCCTTCTGGTCTTTTTTTTTTTTTTTTTTTTTTTTTTTTTAAAAAAAAAAAAAAAATTTAAACTTGAAGCTCTACCGTCGTTTGTTATGTCTGGTGATTTCCTATATATTTCAGTCTAGACCTAGGTGAATTCATGATTTACCATTAATTATAGAGTTCGTAAATTCCAGATTTAAAAACAATGGCAATTGACACTAGCGAATATTGATTACGAGTTTAAGATATGGTGTTCTTGTCTTCTTTTTCAATTTTTATTGTTTTGCAACTAGTGTCGTTTTTTTGATTTTGTTAGTATTTTTTATAATCATTTTTCCCATTGTTACTAGTATTAGTGTCCTATTTCCAGTTTGTGTAGCCTTTGAATTTATTGACGTTTTCACTGTAGTTATATATATATATATATTAAGGGCACTAATATAAATATCTGTTGTTGCTGCTTTTTTTCCGCCTCGCTTATTTGTCAGTTGGGCGTAGTAGGGTTTTCTTTTTTAAATGTCTCTGTTCTTTCTTTTCCTTTCATGTCGTTTGATTAGTTCATCGTCGTTTTGTGATTTTTGTTATTCTCAATGTTTTTGTGATTGCACAGTGTGGGTTTATACATCGTCGTTTCTCTTGTGTTGTCCATTCTTTTTTTTTTTGGAATGGTTGCCGTCTCTTGAAGTCGTCGTTTGGATTGATACGTCGTGTCACGTATGTCCCAATCTATAACTTTCTATTGTCGTTCCTGCTATTGATATTGTCTTTCAAATTATAGTCGTATTTCATGTGGATGTCGTTTTATAGCTTTGATGTTGTTTTCTATCATACATTTTCAAATGATTGGACCACTTTTCTTTTCTTTTTCCATTTTTTACGCTAGCGTTATTGGGAGATTTTTGTTATTCTTATCCTGCTTTTATTTAGTTTTTCTGCTCGTGTCTTTTTGAGTTGTTTCTTTTTTTTTTTTGTTGTTGTCTTATTTTCACCATATGTCGTTTTCGACGTTATTGTCAATTTCAGTTCTCTTGTAATTTTCCGAGGCAGCTGTCCACTTTCATGTTTCCTTTTCAATTGATTTTTAGATGCAACTGTCGTTTCTCCATGCTGATACCGTTTTCTGATTGGTGTGTCTCCACGCACTCTTCTGATTGGGCGTGTGGCTTCAAATTAAGCCCACAAAGCATGTTTTTAGGTTTGGGCCCAAGGCCCACATCTTTCCATTTGTTTTAATGCTGCGGCAGGTTTGCCGACTTTTACTTAGAGAAAGCATTATATATGCTATATGTGTATGTTAGAGCTGCAAGAGTGATAGCAGAGAGTGTTTGTTCCTATTGATACGCAGTTTTTTCTTTTTTGTTTCTTTTGTGTGAGATTTGATGAGAGAATTTAATTCTTTAGTATTTGGTATTCTTGCTTTTGGGTTGAGAGATTTTAGGTGTATTTGGGATTTGGGTGGTGAGAGATATTTGACAAGCTTTTGTAATCTCTTTTGGTTATAGTGAAATTTCTTTGCCGTTTCTGTTCGTGGACGTAGGCCAAAAGCCGAATCACGTTAAATCCTTTTGTCCCTTGAATTTTTCTGTTATTCATATTTGTTTTGAATCCGTTTAATTTGAAGTTTGGCACAACAACTGGTATCAGAACTTTAGTTTATTTGTCTAATTATTTTGGGATTTATGACCACCACAATGACGACAAAGTATGAAATTACAAAATTCGATGGGAATAGTGATTTCCATCTTTGGCGTGTCAAGATGCGAGCCCTATTAGTTCAGCAAGGGTTGCTCAAGGCGCTAAACGGCAAGGAGACTTAACCGACAACGTTGTTAGATAATGCGAAAGAAGACCTCTTAGAAAGGGCACACAGTGCTATTTAGCTGTCGTTGGCAGACGATGTGTTGCATGAGGTTATTGACGAGACTACTACTGTTGGGTTGTGGCTTAAGCTTGAAAGTCTGTATATGACTAAGTCTCTCACTAATCGGCTCTATCTGAAAGAGCGTTTGTACACTTTTCGCATGTCAGAAGGTACATCTATTCAAAGTCATCTTGATGAATTTAATAGAATTATTCTAGATTTGAAGAATATTGATGTGAAAATTGATGATGAGGATCTGGCATTAATTTTGTTATGTTCTTTACCTTGTTCGTATGAGCACTTTGTTGATACTATGTTATATGGTAGAGACACTATATTTTTGGAATATGTTAAGGCGTCTTTGAATTCCAAAGAACTGAAGAAAAATGTGTCTGAAAATTGGGTTGAAAATCAATCAGGTGCATTGGTTGTTAGAGGGAGAGGAATTGAAAAAGACAAAAATAAAAATAGAGGAAAGTAAAAAAATAGAAAAGGCAACTGCAATTATTGTCGCCAACTAGGGCATTGGAAAGTTGATTGCCCAAAGCTCAAGGGAAACAAGGAAACTGGTGAAGAAGCATTAGCTAATATTGTTGAGTATTTTGAAGATGATGATTATGTCCTATCTGTGTCTAGTGATTGCGTAGGCAATTCTTGGATTCTTGATTCTGGATGTTCTCAACATATGTGCCCTAATAGAGATTGGTTTATTGACTACCAGTCTCTTGATGTGGGTGTTGTCTTTATGGGGAATAATATGTCCTGTAGTGTTGCTGGTGTTGGAACAGTCAAAATTAAGATGTTTGATGGCAGAGTTATGACTTTGACTGATGTTAGACATGTGCCAGATTTGAAGAAAAATCTTGTTTCTTTGGGGACTCTCGACTCACAAGGTTATAGGTATTCTGCTGAAGGTAGAGTTTTGAGAGCTAGTAAGGGAGCTTCTATGGTGATTAAGGGAGAGTTGCATAATGGCCTCTATTTTCTACAGGGTAGTACAGTTGTTGGTGCTACCACGGTCTCATCTTGGTTAGATCCAGATTTTAGGATCACTCATTCATGGCATTTACATTCGGGTCATGTGAGTGATGTGGGGATGTCAGTTTTGACGTTTGTTGATGACTATGATGGTGTGTAATTTGGTGAGAGTTACGGATTCTGCGAGAAGAAGATAGTGAGACACCGCACTATTTGAGATTTGCCACAACAGTTGTTAGTCGCAGATATGATGAATTTGGCTCTCTTGGGGAAAGCTTGCTGTTTGCTTTCTAAGTTTGGTTTTCCAGCCTATTTTTTAGTTAGATCTCCATCAACTGCATTTGGATTGAAGACTCCAATTGAGGTACGGCTTAGTTGCTTTGTTGATTTTGTTTTGAGATTTGGTTGTTCTATTTGTGCTCATGTGAATGATGGTAAATTTGAGCGAAGGACAAAAACATTCCTAGGATTTGAGTTTGGGGTGAACAACTATTGGTTGTGGTTTGTTGAGCCAAAGTCACAAAGTTTGGTAATTCACAGAGTTGATGATTTTGCCATCCTATTTGAAGACAATGAGTTAGTAGTTGCAGATAAAGATCCCGGTATTCGTGAACATGTGGAGGTTGATAATCTCATTTGTATTGCATTAGTTGTGACAAGTTTGGTGATTAAGTTGATTGCCGTTTGGAAGTTCTGGCGTTGCTTGGGCTTATTTGGTGTTATAAATTGGAATTAGCCCTACGGGATTTTGGAGGATATGGCGGAGAGGTTTCATTATTTGGGCTTGGCTTAATTTTTGCTAAAGTGGAGATTGTTAGGCGTGTGGCTTCAAATTAAGCTCACAAAGCATGTTTTTAGGTTTGGGCCCAAGGCCCATATCTTTCCCTTTGTTTTAGTGCTACGGCAGGTTTGCCGACTTTTACTTGGAGAAAGCATTATATATGCTATATGTGTATGTTAGAGCGCAAGAGTGATAGCAGAGAGTGTTTGTTCCCATTGATACACAGTTTTCTCTTTTTTGTTTCTTTTGAGTGAGATTTGATCATAGAATTTAATTATTTGGTATTTGGTATTCTTGTTTTTAGGTTGAGAGATTTTTGGTGTTCGGGATTTGGGTGGCGAGAGATATTTGATAAGCTTTTGTAATCTCCTTTGGTTATAGTGAAATTTCTTCACCGTTTTTGTTCGTGGACGTAGGCCAAAAGCTGAACCACATTAAATCCTTTTGTCTCTTGAATTTTTCTGTTATTCATATTTATTTTAAATCCGATTAATTTGACGTTTGGCACAACA